CTTTTCATTTCTTAATCCCAAAGTAGAAAAATTTCACATTAGTGAAAGCCACTGGCTCTCAAATGGAAGTGATTTGCCTACACTGGGGGCACATTTTGACAATGTTTGGGGGCACTTTTCATTACCGCAATTACAGGAGTAGAAACTAGGGTGCTACTAGCATCTAGTGGGTAGAAGCCTGAGGTGCTGCTAAATATCCTACAATTTACATTACAAATAGTTCCCTACAACAACAAAAAAATTATCTAGCCAAAAATGTTGGTAGTGCTGAGGCTGAGAAAACCTCATATGAACAAAGCCTTCCTGAAGATGTCTTCTTACAGAAGCATTATTAATATTCCATCCTGGGTTGTCCTGAAATCAGTGTTTAAAGTCAATCAGAATAGCTTAATTTAAACTACAATGAGATGTTGCTATGGTCTGAATGTTTTAGTTATCCCTAAAACTCTTATGTTGAAATCTTAATACTCAATGTGATAGTATTAAGAGATAAGGGCTTTGGGAAAAATCAAGTCACAAGGGTTCCACCCTTTTAAATTAACATCCTTACATAAGAGACTTGAACCTTCTGAGGACACAGGAAGTGGTGCCATTTTTGAAGGAGTGAGCCAAGCCCCCACCTGACACTTAATCTATGCATGTCTTCCTTTATGATATTATGTGTCCCAGCCTCCAGAACTATGAGCAGTAAATTTCTGTTCTTCAGTCAGGCAACGCAGCACAAGCCTGTAGTTCCAGCACCAGCTAGACTGTGGCAGGAGTATTACTTGAGCCCACAAGTTTGAGACCAGCTTGGGCTACACAGTGAAATCCCATCTCAAAAATGGAAAAAAAATCATGTTATAAATTACCCAGTCCAAGAGATTTTGTTCAATTATGCATTTAATACATAAATGTGTGCTTATTTTTAATTCAGCTGAAAAACTGAATTTATATTATAAATTCTGAAATGACATAACTTTGGAGGGTCCATCTCAAATATATACCATCATATAAAGACACAGGGGTGAGAAAATAAATATGTATATTTGACACATATTCACTGATATATGGTTGTTACAATCTTTATTCTTCCTGTTTAAAGGATACATGGGGGCCGGGGAAAGGAAACCTCCATGTAGAAAAGTAGGAAAAAAAAAATAACATATTGAAGCTTTAGTACACATTTTGAAAAAGGCATAATAAAGCCACACCACAAGGCAGAGAACTGCTTTCTTGGTTTTATTTCAAAAGTACACAAGGTCACAAAACTATAAGAGCAAGTTCTTGGTTTTTTAAACAAGTTTTGTTCTTACAAATTTCAAAATCTGCACCATTGGATATGTAAGCCAGAAATTTTAAATACAAAATCTGCAACTGATATTACCAATGCTCTATTTTTCAAATGTGAAGTGTCAAAATAGTTCTCAGTAGTACAAGTGTATTTACCATTAAAATTCACAGTTAGGGACAAGAATAAGTGCATCAGTGAATTGTGGTTCTCTTAATACTTGTGTTGTTAAAACAAGCTGGCAGGAAACAGAGCTCACTCTTCTTTGATGGAACCTTTAGAGTCCATGATGAAAACCAAACCCAACTTATAATCGATGTCTTCTTAAATTACAAAATAGGATACGTATTTTGTAAAATTGGATTTTAATTAATAATAGACCAATGTTAATATCCATAAGATAAATGATCAGCCTTCCCTTAAGAGAAATAAACAGAACCACAATTCACAGAATTTATTTATCGTTCTTCCCTGCTTCTTCTATAACAATTATGAAAGGAGTTTGTGCTCAGTTATAGACTATTTTAGTATTGAAGCAGGCAAATAAGTATGAAATCCTATTGCAGAATATGTTGCCTTTATTACTAGAATATCCAAAGGCATTTGAAATATTAAAACTTGCCCAGAACATTTATACTAGTGAACACGGAAATGTTATAAAGATATATATATATACATATATATATATAATATATAATGTCACAAGCCACTGAAAATCTAAAATTGTGCCAACATTTTCTACAAACTACTCCATATGTGACACACCAAAGCATTAACCACAAAAAATATGGACTTTTCCTGTTTACACTAGAATAAGGCATCTGAAAGCCCTAAACACTGTTGAAATGAGAATTAGAAAAAAACTATAAACATTCACATGTAACTTCAAACTTACATGCTGCACACACACAAAAAGAGACTGAGAAGTTATTTTAATAAGCCACATATTACAGAATTTGATAGCCAAGTTCATGCAATGAGTTTTTCTTATATTTAATCAAAATGTTTACTTGCCCCTTTACTTGATCCAAATTTCCAGGACCCATTCTAAAATTTTTAAAATTATCTAACAGAAATCAGATATTTCTTTGTATCTGTAATCTATATGGATTTTTAAGTTTTCAATTAACTTCCCCCTATGATACACTCAGGCTGTGTTTCTACTGTAACAAATCCTTGGCAGACAGCTTAAATATAAAGAAAATTTGCCCACAATAACTGGTGAATATAATCAATGAGACTTTTTTTAGGTGGGGAGGCTTTCTAACACTGGTCAATAATAATAAGAATACCTATAAACTACTCCATATTCAAAACACAGAACCATATTAATCCACAATATCGTTTCTCTTCAAATTATCCAATGTAACTTATTTAAAAGATGGTACTAAAGTCTCTCAGGAATAAAGTGGAATCAAACAGTTTTGCTTTGAAGATGCAGTGTTGTCCTTGACTGATATTACTATGCTCTAGTTGAAATAGTTTAATAATTTTTTTTATTGAACTATTTGATCACATGAATAGTAATTCTAGAATAAATAGTTGATATCTGGTTCAATTAAAATTTAACAGTGAGAATTATTTGGGAAATTACTAGTACTATCTGACCTTTAGATCAAGTGAAATTTACAATAAAAGTAAATAAAGAAAATATTAAGCCTAAAACTGAGCTGGGTCCTCTAAACCTAATCATACCTGAAAGGTTTGTTCAGGTTACACAAGTGATTTTTCACAAGCTTGTTTTTTGGATTACAGTTGCTATGGATCTAAACTAAACTACTTTTTGGAAGAGATTCTGATTTACTTACAGTTAAATCCAATACAGAGTTTAACATAAGGAAAACCTTACACAGGTATACTCTCCATAATAATTTCTACTTTGATTAATAGCATAATTTTCACTATATGAAAATCAGAAATAGGACAGGCCAAAAATCTTTTGTTATTAAAGTCTGTGTTCTGTTTTAGTCTCCTAATATCTTTAAAAAACAAGCCAAACATCTAGCATTCAAAAATAGTTACTGTTTCAAAATCAGAAACACAGTCAAAGAGTATTGGGGATATTAAAGTTTTTAAATTTTTATGAAGAACACAATTATTGAAGTTACTTTGAAAAAGAAAAGAAAGGAAGAGTCAAGATTCAAAGAATGAGGGTAGAAAGGTGTCACAGTGATGTGTTTTCAGAAACAGTACCTTCACCTCTAAGCACCTTTCAGGTAGGTGATAGCTAGCTCATAGGCACCAGATCATAATAGAAATCAAATTACCCAAAAAGGCACAGATGAAGATGTTAACACAAGTATAAAAAGCAACTTTATGTAAGGTTAAAAATCTACTTAAAATGTTTCCAAATATGTAAAACTGTACACTAATCCATTATGCAGACATTCAGCTTAAGTTTACCATTAAAAAGTATACACAACACTCTTCCTAATTGTGAATACATGCCAACATTAATTCATAATGTAGCATTTACCACCACAGCACCCAAAGAGATTAACAGAAACCAACTCCCTACTAAAATCTAGGGAAAAGGCTTTAGAGCTAATGAAATAATTTATTACAGACCTTATATACTATAAAACTGTTGGCTCATTCTACTATATGCACATTCCCTCACAATCTTAAGGGAAATACAATAAATCCACTTTCTTCTACTTAAACATTATTGAACACATTTGGCAGGCAGGAGTACTCCCTTTACTCCATTTTCTTTTCTTTTAAGAATAAATTGCTTTCACAAAACTTAAGACTCAAATTTTTTCAAAGCTCAACTTGATTTGCTGAAACTACACGATGACATGTTTGGCCACACAACAGCAACTGTACATCCTCCAAAGTCTGCAGTACAGAATTGATGGAGGATCTTTATTTGTGTAAAATGTATTGAATTTCTGAGTCTATGATGAAAATACCCTCCAGGAATTGCATTCAAGAAGGTAAGTATATATAATATGCATCCCAAAACAAAAAATACACCAAAACAAACGAAACACCACTTAAAATTTAGTATCAATAATTAGGGAATTTTCATTTATAACTGTCAAATAATAAATGAATTACAACATTATCTTATTAGAAAAACATCACCTAAAGTGGAGAGCCAGTTTTTAGTTGGACAATGTGAAATACATCTGGATCTGGTCACCACATGCAGATGGCCATAGGCCTCAACGCATCAGACCATTCAACACTTAAAATCTGCCCCTACTATTAGACCAATGGTGCCAACTCTATATGTAGCTGAAGCAAATGTTCTAACTGAATCTGTTGATGCTTCTGTTCTTGAGCATACAAGAGAGGTTATGATGGCCCTGTTGCCTATAGCAGTCTATCAATTAAAAACCATTTCCTACCCAAGGCTTATGAATAGCTTAGCAGTAAAACTAGTCATTTCTAAAATACTGTAGTGTTTTCCATTATTGGAGATATTCCAAACATCTTTAGCGTTTTCAAAGAGGCTAGAAAAACAAGTATAAACATACATGAGTATTTTTGCCATGGGTATTTCTTTACTAATTTGGGAGACATTGTTGAGTCATAAATAAATGAGACAAACATCTTTAAAATAATGGTAGAAATTAATTACCACTGTCAGATGATTCAAGTATCAATCTAGTATGCATGTATGTTTACAAATTTCTTCACCTGTGATTTAATATTCAAAGTGCTTATATATTAATACTCAGATACCTTTGAAATCAACCTCTTTTAAAAAATCCACCTTTTCCAGATGATGAATTTGTCTTTACTAACTATATTAACTTTATTGTTTCAATATAAACAAACAAAACTTTGTGAAGCATATTTCTTACAGTTTCTGGTTAACTTTTTTTTTTTTTTTGAGGCTGGTAACAAAATTTAGACTAGAATAGGTTTTAATATATCAAGAGAAGAAAAGAAACACTGAGAACAAAGAAGAGAGGTAAGAGGCTCTATACTATAGACCCGTCCTTGCTCTGTGCTGGAATCATCACAGGAACCGCTCCCATTCGACTTAGATTAGGGGCAGCTACCTTAGCAGGTGGAAGAGTCGGACTCTGAGGAGTACGTTCAAAGTCTTCGCTTGGTACTTGATTATACTGAGTCTTGGAATATCCTTCCATGTTGGAAGGAGACATGGATCCCAGGGATGAATGATTGCTGCCAATGTAGCTTCTGGCAGTAGATGTTCGGCTTTTTGGAGGAGGCACATCTTCCCTGGAAAGCAGAGTCCACAATGCAAGTTAAATAAACAAGTTTTTAAAAATCTACTGTTGTGTAAGATATGAATCATGCGGAAGGGCCTCTATTTAAATACAAATATATAAAATTTGTGTCACACACAGACACATACACACACACAAAAACATAACAAGGTATAATGTCATGAACTGTGTATTTGAGCCTAACTGATCCGCTTTATTGATTAAAGAGTGTATAATTTCACAACATGAAATGTGATTTCTACACAAATGTGTATGCTTTTATAAGGCTCTATTTATTAAATCTTGAATAGCTCCATATTCTAGTTTCTATGATGAAGAGGATCTAATTATAGTGATATAATACTTTCTAAAAGTATTAACACCACAGATATAAATTTTATCCCCTAAAAAAAGGAAAGGGAGGGAAAAAACCTTTTGGCTATGAAAGTTGTCTATCTGAAAACCTTGCAGATCTAAATCTGTAAAACCTGGGAATTGAGATTTAAGAATTTTCATATCAACTACCAACAAAGGACATACATCTGAGTAACTTTCAGTGTACTTTAAAAGTATAAGTGCTCAAACCCCACCCCAGACCTACCAAATGCAACTTTAAGGGTGTTAAATTATGTCCTGTATTATTATTTTTTAAGTTCCTATAATCCAATATGTTATCTACTGGTTAGAAAAATAAAATTATACTACCAACAGTTCAACAAACTATCCATATCACTTTATATGATTAGGTCAAACCTCAACTTCTGCTCCATTTCTTAAAACTTCATTCCTGCCATCTTATTGTGAAAAGGCAGGCAAGGTAGTCTTGATATTTTGCAGTAGTTCTCAAAATGGGGTACAAGAAAATCTGGGCAGAGAATAATGAAATATGGTTGGGCCAGTGTATTTGAAATTCAAAGTAAATGCTCTGAAATGTGTTATGGGAGGAGCCAACACTTTCACTCAATTTTCAGAAAGAAATAGCGTGCTGCAGATGCTTAAGAGAACTAATTCTTCAGAGATACAGGTGATATAAATCTGTCAGGCCCCTCTTTTCATTAAATTACCTGATATCATGGTGAACTTCCTTTTCATATTTTTCTTCTCTGCGCTTTTTACGACAGCAAAAGACGATGAGACTAATGAGCACGAGCGCAAGCAAAATTCCTATGATAGCTCCTGCAATTGTTCCAGCTCTATTTGAAGCTAGAATGAGATGTTAATAAGAATACTTAAAAAAATCTATTGATATGGAAAATGGGATATATATTTATACTAATTGATTGATTTTGTTGCATATATTAACTTTTAAGAGACAAATTACTTAGCTATTTGTGATCCAGCAGGAAAAATCTATTAAAAGACTTTTCTTCTGAACTGTATATTTCCAGCATAAAAATGGTAAAACCAGACTAAAATAATATTCAAAATTATCTTTGTTAGCATATAAGAATGTTCTAACTGGGCATACTGGTGCAAACCTGTAATCTCAACTACTTTGGAGGCTGGAGGATCACAAGTTCACGGCCATCCACGAAACTTGGCAAGACTGTCTCGAAATAAAAAAATAAGCTTGGCTGGGAATGTGGCTCTTCTTAACATTATTAAAAAGATGCAGGTTTTATCAATAAAATGTACTTTCCCTCTCCATGGGTAGAAAAGGTAATAACCCAGCCAAAGTGTGTTCTGATCAAAGTTGGCATCCCCATGCCCTCAATACACCCTTGCTGACAACTAAAGAAGAATGTAAAAAAATAACAAAACAGAAAGATACTTACGAGGGACAACATCTAGGCGAAGCAGGCACTGATCAGAGCCCACTCTGTTTTTGACTGTACAGCTGTATGTCCCAGAGTACTCAGAAGTGGCATTTTTTACAGATATAACAGGTGAAGTCATTTCTATGGTAGAGTGGGGGGGGGGGGAAGAAAAAAAAAAACAGTCTTTTTCTTTGCTGTGCTGGGGATGGAACACAGACCTAGGCAAGAGCTCCACCACTGAGCTCCACCCTTACCCACAAGCAAACTCACGTTTACAGTATGTATCACTCTGACCCTTTTAATAAAGTTAAACCCTACCAAGTTTGACAGTCCAACTGAAAGGAAGACAGAAAATGCTGGGCGCAAACAAAATGCCCTGAAGCCACATGCACATCTCTAGAATTCAAACAAGCATGCCTGACATTCCTACAGCCAAGGCAAAAGTCTCCACAATCCCTCATCCACAGATCCTCAGCTAAAGCAAGGGTGCTGGTCTACTGTGTAGCAGTGACAATCCCATTTTGGGTCACATCTGATTATTTAAAAAAAGAAACAACTTATTCCACAATGGCTCTTTCATTCAGCAGGAAAATATGCAAGATCTATTTTATCGCCCTAGATGGAAGAAAAACATACACATGAAAATCAGAAGGCATCATTCACGCAGTTTGGCCTCTATTTTGAAAAAAAAAAAAAAAAAGAGAGGGGTAGAGAGAAAACCTACTGGAGATCAGAGTGGGGTGGAAAGGAAGAAGGTAGAGCATGGTAATCAGTTTGAACTAATAGGTCAATTATAATAAACAGATGAGCAATCAGAATTAGTCCATTTGTAACTTTCTGGTTTACTGTAGCATCAACATGAATCTAGGCAAAACATTCCAGATCCAACTCTTGCTGTTCTTTAGCCACTAAATAATTTATGGTCATGATCATTTACCACCAATTAAAAATAAAATGTACCAATGTAAGTAATTATAATATTCTAAAAAGTAAAATCATTACAGAAATATTTCTTCATTTATGACACTAGGCTGTCATTATAAAGCACTGAATAATTCCCATGGAAAATTTGTTCTGGACAGAAAAGGGAATTAGTATGTAAATACTCATACAAACCCTACTGGATTTAAGTCCAAATCAGTGGCACATGGTACAGTTTGTATCATCAGCAGTACCTGCTAACCACGAAGTGGGCATTCTCTGGGAGTCAGATAATTTTTGCCATTCATATCGCAATGGAAGTGAACCTTCTTTTGGTTCACATTTTAATTTAAAGTCATTTCCAATTTCTTCTGATCCATCAATGAAACATCTTGTACCTGAAGGCTTAACTAAAAGAAAAAAAAAAAAAAAGAAATTACAACTTTATACGAGAAAGGAAATTATCTTGATAACATGACTTAAAGCACACAGCATGGGGTGTACAACCACTGACTCATTATCAGTTGGTCCTGGGTTCAGAATTGACAAAAGAATGGAAAGATCACAATAGGCTGTCAGCACAGTTTATCCAGCTCTATCAAACACAAAACAGGTAATAACAAGCTCGGGAAAGCAGCCATTGCATGAGGAGGTCGGGCAACATCTCAGGCGCAGCTTGGTGCCCTCCATTCCATGAGGCACATTTGAAAAAAAAGCAAGGATGATGCGGGCTGGGCCACTTGAGACTCTAGAAAGCTCCCGCTCCCCTCCTTACCTACTCTCCGTCGTGCTTGAAATGTAGCCCTCTTGGAGTATGTGCCAAGTCACATCTCTTGGTGCCGTTACCCGACAATCAGGGGATTTATAATCAATAATGCTGATAACAGGGACAATTCACTTAGTGCAGCAGAGACATTTAACAGTCTATCTTTATATTAGCTCAGATCCATTGAGAGAGCAGTGTTATAAAGGTAAATCAGAGGCTGTCATCTGTATCTCTCTAAGTAACTCTTTAAAGTAGCTGCCAACCCATTACCCCAAACCTGGACTAATACCCTGGCATTACATGCCCTCCTGCTGAATTGCATTAAGGCATAATATTTAAATAATAAAATTAACATGTGTTAGTCATGTGAGTTTATCACATTTAGCAAACTTTATTACATCTATAACTTGGTACCTGTGGAAGAAACTGCTTCCACAACCCAGTGTAGATACCAAAATACTACAATACTCAAGTGCTTTATATAAAATAGCATAGTATTTGCATATAACCTTCCCCTGCAGACTTAAATCATCCCTAGATTATTTATAATATTAATACAATCTAAATACTACATAGTTGTTATAATATATTGATTAAAGAAAAATGACAAGAAAAAACCCATATGCTTTCAAAATTTTCTTCAAATATTTTCAATCCACAGTTGTACAATCTGAGGCTGTGGAAGATACAAAGGGCCAACTGTATACCTAGTCCAATTCTCTACAAAGACAGTTCCCTCATGCTGACTGTAGTCAATCTCAATTCAAAACCCTGGTCCCAAGGCATCCCCTAATTCGATTTCTATCCTTATAGATTAGTTCTGCTTCTTCTAGAATCACATGAGTGAAGAATAACATTACAGTATGTACTTTTTTATCTTACATCTTTTGTTCAGCATGTTTCTGTGACTGATCCATGTTGTTGGACGTCAGGAGCCATTCTTTGTTACTGCAGATTAGAGTCAATGAATGGCTATAGCACATGAGCTCTTCCATTTACCTGCTAATGAACATGGTTTCCAGTTAGGGGGTTACTGTTTAAGTCTAATTGGCCAAACTGACCAGGGGCAAGTGTGTCATCTGTCAATATCAGAATGACCAGAGAGGAAGGCACTATGAGGCTCTGTGGAATGCTACTTGGCCAGGGGGGATCCTGTGGATTTTAAGGAGACTCAGGAAAACAGCAGCTCTTGATCAGCTGTTTCTGAGGAGCGATTAGAAGTGGGAACCAAATGTGGAATGGATGCTATCAATGGGTAGGACCCTTCAGTAATTAGCACCCTAGTGGGGGATGTGTACTGCAAAGGGAGTCTGGGAACAACATTAAAAAAACAATAATTGTCAATATTTTGCTGCTGCTCTATGACCTTGAGATAAACAGTGTTTCTTGTAAATTCTATAGTTGACTTCATAATTTTTCTTCCCAGCCCAATATCTGCTAGGAATGCTTTTTTTCTTTTTCAGTCTAAGTTGGCTTTCGTTCTTAAAGTCCTGGAAGCGTTTTTATTCCTTCGTTACTATGAAGAAAGATGAATGGGGTTTATAGTTTTGCACTATTATGAACACCACTGCTTGAACACTCTAATATTGGCATTCCTTTTTCTTGGCAACTGCTTGAGTCATATGGTGAGTGTATGTTTAATTCTATAAAAAAGTGCCAAAATATTTCCCAGAGGCAGACAACAGGATGTCATGGTCCCAAGGCATGGGACCATGCCAGTGGGGTATCTTCAAATAAGGTTGTCAATCATGATCAAAATTTCTTACTACTCTTAGCAAATTTGATTTCTCCCTTTTATGTCCCTTTCACTACTCATACTTTTTAATTAATAAGAATCCACAGATGTACTTAACTACATTATTGATTTTTCTAAAGTGTTTTTTTTTTTCCAGACTGATCAGTTACTCTAGAGACTATATCCATTGAACTTTTAAATAAGTTTGGTAAATTATTTTACCCTGTGAATCTTCAATGAAATGAGTCTTATTTGTCTTCATTTCTTTGAACTGTCAATGAATCCTTTATTAGAATATACTAACAGAAAATAAGATATTAAAGCAATGTTTTGCATATCAAACAGCTAGCGGTAATACAGTATTAAAACCCTAATTCAAATCCTTATCTTTTCTGTGGTAAACTTTCCTCTTTGATATACCAACACTTCCAATAATAGGTGGCTATTTAAAGTGGCCATTTAGGATATTCAGTGTCTCTGAGACAGTGAATCAAAAAAAAAAAGATTTTATCAACAGTGGTTTCTGAGCTTTACTTAGGAGTGGCCCAACTCCTTTCTAATGGAGAAGAAAGTCTTCTTTTATGCCAATTCCCAGTCATTACACAACAGGGAGAATTAACTCTTCACACATGATACTCGGTGCTGACATGGAAGAAAGAAAACCACAAAGGCAACACAGTTAATGTCTCGCCCTTTGCGTGTTTCTCTGGTCTAGGCTTCCAGAATACCTGTTCATTGTCCTTGGAACATTTGTCTCCATGATTGTCAGTGTGGCCCTAAGATCACTGTGACCACCAAGTTGCACTTAGCCATAGCATCCCATCAACTTAGTAGTGCTGTGCTCTACACTGGTACTGAATCATCCTCCCATGTTAGTGGCCACCGTAGCCTTCAGGAAATACATTCTAAAGCCCTACATGGGACAAATTACACTTTTATCTTACATCATCCTTCTAAGAATGCCATTTCTGCTTGATTTAAAAATATCCAGACTCCAAGCAAAAGCCATCAATACATACTAAATTCAATGGGCAAAAATTAAGAGAAACAGGATATTTATTCACAGTCATAGTATCCTTAAGATACATATATCTTAGTATCCTTAAGATAGAATCCTCTATCTATCTATCTACATATATTTTATATTTTAATCAGAGAGAAAAATAGCAACTTTATGGTGGAGAAACATATCAGATAAAACCTAAACCAAGAAATTATGATTAACAATAACATATGACATCATGTACCCCTTGACATGACTGGAGGAGATTAAGGAGTCTAAATGCAACATGGATTCTAGATGTCATCTTAGTACAAAAAGGACATTAGTGAAAAACTGTGAAATTCAAATTAGTCTGTATTTTAGTTAATAGTATTGTATCAATGTTAATTTCTGAGTTTGACAATTGCAACATGATTTTGTAAGATATTAAAATTGAGGGAAATTAGATGATGGTTATATTCTCAGAAACTCTCTTGTATTGTCCCAATATCTCTATTAAATAAAAATTATTTCAATTAAAAAGAGTTAGGGAGGTCTGGCCTGTATCAATGGCTTGCAAATCCTCCCCAGAGCGTTTATGGTCAGAGTTGACTGAACCACTATACAAACTGCCCTGCCTGAGTTGATAGCATGGTGTTGTTTATCGTTTACATCTAGGAGACCATCAGTTATGTTTACTATACTCTTAAACAACTCTTCATATAAAAAGGTCTCCATAAAAGACCTTTCCAGAGCTCCAGGGGAAGGCATTAGTGATATAAGACCACAATATCAACCTTTACCTTTGTGATCATTACCCATTTCCGCTTCTTTACCGTATGAATTTTGGGGCTATCTGAAAAAGCAGGGCAGGCTCTGGTAATGCGGTTAAGTTATAGCAACATGCCACCCTTCAGATCCAGTCAACTAAGTCATGATTCACATGGTTCATGGCCACACAGAATACAGGTTCAGTGAATGAACTACCATCACACCCTGTGAATGTCATGGTGGCAATTCCTTCAGAATCAAAGGATTAATAGGCAGAGCCACCACCAGCAAACCAAGTGAGAGCTCCTATGTACTACCACTTAGCTGGGTCACTACAGGGCACTTCATTTGTCCACTGCAGAATTTTCAGGCAAAGCTAACAGCTAAGCTTCCTTCTAGTTCTTACTTTCTAGAGAAAACAATTCTGGTGGTTTCTCCCAGCAGAGGTCATGACTCATCTAAAAACATGCAAGAAAGAGTTATGAGAAGTTCCTCTCTGGATCTGTGACAGCCTCATGAGATCACAGCATTAGTCATTCCTGCTTAAGTTCAGCTGCCACTTCCTTCTCTCTCCTCATATCCCCAACTTACTCCCTCTGGTGATTTGAATTCAAAGGTTACTTGACTATAATAATCCTCCACAAGGCTAACAGGACAGTTAGTGCTTCCCACTTATCCATTCTGAGGAATCAGATGCTGATTCCATAACCAGATATGATCTGCTTGTATATCGTGAACCAATTAAAAGACCATATTCATCTTAATGCTTCCCAGAGAATAGTGGTGAAAGAAGGTGTGGTCAGAGTTATAATCTCAGATATCTCTAGGCCTAGGATAAGAGTTCAGACCACGGCTAAAGAAACATTCACCTGCTTACACGTTTATTTTAAAAACAAAACAAAACAAAAAAAATAAGGTTACTACATTGTACAAAATACAGACCGAGAAAGCTAGGATTTCCAATGTTACCCCGGACCTTCCTTGGGTTTCTTGTTCAGTTCATCTGCTTTCATACCATAGGAAACATTTTAACTAGTGCCATTTAGTATAGAATCCTTTTTACCAAGAACCCCTTAGATGCCCACTCAATGAGGCTGCCAGCAGAAGCCCACCTTACCAACCAAGACAATCCCTGTTCTGATACTCATTCTTAAGAAAAGAGCTGGTGTCAAAAGGAGTTTGGCCCCAAACACAACTATTTACTTCTCTATCCTACCCCTAACCAGATCTTTTTTTTTTTTTTAATATTTTTTAGTTTTGATGGACCTTTATTTTATTTATTAGTATGTGGTGCCAACAATCAAACCCAGTGCCTCATGTATGCTAGGTAAGCCCTCCACCACTGAACCACAACCCCAGCCCCCCTAACCAGATCTTTAAAACAAAAGAATATGGTAACATTTGACATGGGAAGACACTCCCTGATTTTTTATTTTCTGGGTATGCTAAACAATTCTAGCAGTCACCATTTCTTACAAAAAGTAGATCTCCAAATGACATCCAGAACAAAATTAGAGGTCACAGAACAGGAGGACTGACAGGTTCAGAATAGAGAAATGGACAGCTGTATTTTTCTACATGGTAGCCATCATGCATTTTGTGTAAACAAAATTTTACAAGTTTATTTATGCGCTATAATCTGAAATTTCAGAGTTTCTCAATCTGAAGAGATTAACAATGCTTACACACATTATCACAGAATCTGGAGTCTTGGACAGTTTAGAAAGTAACTTACATTCACCTCCTTACCAAACGAACCTCAAGACATTCTAGCAACTGTCTAACTCCTCCACCTGAAGGATGAAAGACATTGATACAGGGGGTTCAAAAAACTACCTGATGTTTAATGGCCCTGCTCTAATTCAGTACTCCTGCTACCATACTGCATTATTCTCCAATTATTCATCATAGAAACCTCATGTATTCTTTGAATAACAAAGGTAAAAACTTTAAAGCACACAGAAATGACTTTGAACTGAATGAGATCTGAGAGATTTAATAATTAAAACTGTAAGGAAATGTGCAGGTTCTATTTAACTATGAGGACAAGGCAAAAAAACTTTAGATCTCTTAACTCCTGGTTTAGGGTTTGTCTGTTTTCTGTTGCTGCAACAAAATACTTGAGGCTGGATAATTTATAAAGAAAGGAGGTTTATTAAGCACACACATTTCTGAAAGTTCAAGAGTATGGCATCAGTATCTGCTTGGCTTCTACAGAAGGCCTCACGGCAGAAGGAAAATGGGCATCAGAGGAAAAAAGGAATAGGGAAATGAAGATGACCCATTTAACAACTCACTGTCATGAGAACTAATCCACTACCATAGGGACTACCTGGGGAGTCTCCAAGACCTAATTAACTCTTAAAAGGTCTACTCACCTCTCACACACTGTTACATTAGGAAATTAAGTCTGTGAGTTTTGATGGGACCAACCATATTCAAAACATAGAAGAGTTCTATCTCCTGGCCACAAGATACTTCCATTGATTGATAGATCGACTGACTGACTGACTTGCAGTACTGAGGATCAAACGCAGGGCCTCACATGTGCTAGGCAAGTAATCTCCCACTGAGCTACATCCCCACCCCTTATTTTTAAACTCTTAAGAATTTCACAAGTGGGACACTTCTGATTTTCCTTATCCTAAACAAAGAAAAAAAAAATGAGCAAAAAAACCAATACTGGGATTTCTGTCTTAGGCTCTTTGAGAACTAACATCAGAAGTAGTTCAAATGTTTAAAATTGTTACTCTATGAAACTTAAGCTTTGTCTCACATAAATGCTGTGACTACAATACTATAACCACTGACTCTAAAACTAAGTAACCTGTTAACACAAATAAAGCAACTTACCAAGAACTGTCAGCAGAAATTTCTTATTTGCAACCCCAGGAGCTTTTTTCACTTTGCACTGGTATGTGCCGATATCTGACAACTGTAAGTTTGTTACATTTATTGATGCATCACCAGATTTGAGATCACTACTTGTAAAATGTACTCGTCCTTTCAGATCTTGATAGTAGTTATCATATATTTTGTCTCCAGAATATAAAATAATCTAAAAGAAAACCAAAATAAAAACAGGGGGACAAACACCTGAATCATTAAAGGATCTCTGCATACACTATGACATTGTAGGATCCAAGGACAAAAAAAGAAGAAAAACACTGTATTAAGACAAAACTTAACCACCATCCAAATCACAGAATGAGGAAATGGAAAGAGATCAATGGGATCCTTGAATATAGTCCCATGCTCCCATTTTAAATGGAGGAAAGCAGACTCAACATTACTACATAAATACTCCTATGCAAGAAAGAGATTTAGTGAAACTGCACAAGGGTGCAAATTTGTTCCTTCCTATATACTCTATTTTTCCACTGCCTTGAAGGTTACAGTGCATCAGTTTAGGGTACAAATCAAACACATACCACCTCTTCCCCAAAAGATTTATCATAATTTACCTGTAGAATCTAACAAAAAAAGAAAACTATTTTTAATATTAATAGTTAAAAGTACTTGAGGGCTCTAGACTCTAATATACAAAAATCATAAAATAAGGCTGAGATAAGTGGACCCAGGTTAACAGGACCTGGCAATGAATCTTCTGTGACTAAAAGCAAAGACCATTTCCTATTACATTGCATTTTCAGAGCAATGCACTCTTATAGATTTTAACGGGAATCACCAAAAGCTAGATTTAGAAAGAAAATCTGTGTTAAACTTGGTTTAGAAGCAAACTGTGGTAACCAACTCGAATAATCTCTAAAATTAGTTTAAAACATCTCATAATTTTTCACATTATCACATGGAGGAACTAATGAATTCCTTCTTTTGGTCACGTGAGACTCAAGGGCCAGAGAACAATGAGTGCCAAAACTCAAATAATAATCAAGAAAACAAGTATAACTACCCTGCAAGTAATTTTTTTTTAATCTGAGATGCTGATTATAGGCAGTATAATCAGAATAAAGGCCATTTAAAAATACCTTGTTTATTCTTTAGGAACTTCTTGAATGGAGGAACTTGGATTTTTTTCTGTATTTTTACCTCCCCTACCAAACTGATCCGACCCCTAATCCCTTAAAGATCTTTTATTTATACACCAAGTGTCTGCAACTAGGATGAACTCAAACCAGTTTGCTAAGTAAATATAAAAATCAGGTGAATGGCCCTCAGCTGGCTCATGCTGTAAACACACACCATTACTTTATTTGCTCCATCCTCCTGCCACACCCAGTTGTCAGCAGCAACACTGCGAATCCCACAAATGGACTGCTCTAGCATCCTTTGAATTAAACTACTGGCTTATTTGCTGTGAAAGGCCAAAAAGTTCAATCTATTCTACTTTCAGTAGCTCATTTTGCTACATGCACACTTTAGTAGAAGGGCCTGGCAAACAAGATGTGTCCTCACTGGTAGTTATCTTGTAAACTACCTTAGTATCTTCCCAAGAAGGGGTCACAAAGTGAGGAATTAATATTTATTTACCAGGCAATTTTACATGTCCTCATGTATTAGCCTAAGGAGAGCTAGTGGCTCGCACACACCAACTTCTACCCAGTAACACAGCTAAGATGTAAGCCTGATCTATTTGATGTGGCACAGTACACAACTGACATTTCTGTATCACTTATAAGTCCACAACATGCCTGTGCATACAGTATCTCAAAACAACCTTGAAATGGTAGGTATATCTGTCCCTGTTGCACATATGAAGAAACAGAGGTTTATGTAATATGGGAGGCAGGAAAGGCCAGTGCAATAGATTTTTGAAATAAATGCAGGTGTGACAATAACAGAGACCTAGATTAAAATCTCTACCGTATCGATGGTCACTTATGTGACTCTGCGCAGGTTTCTTCAAATTTCCGGGCCTTTTTCCTCCTTTTCATATGTACAATAATTCTCACTTTAGGGCTGGGGATGTAGCTGCATGGCAGAGCTCATGCACGAGGCCCTGGGTTCAAACCCAGCACAGTGAAAAAAGGGGGGGAAAAACACAACACGACAGGGCATTGTTTTAAGGCTTAAACAATATAAAGTCACAAACTACATAATAATATTTCGGTCCACCAGAAGTGCATATATACAAAGGTGGTATCATCAGATTATTTCACAGCCATCTCAAGTTTCTCGGAATATATTCTAGATGGGCGGCAACGAAGGACTGTCCAGAGCATATCAAACCCTGCCTTGCATGCAGCTCATGCTAACTGCTAACTGAAGTAACTGCACAGGAGTAAGGATGAAAATCTCTCCAGCCCAGTCCTCCAAATTCTCATCTGTAACCATTGTCTACTAGCTTAAATAAACTGAAATACACGTTCAGCTAACATAATATATACCTGAAATTCTTAATAATTCTTAAATTACTAAGCCTCTTCTCCTGCAATCGCTCTCTAATCCTTCCACTTTTCTTTTAGTCAGATCTTTCTGTGTTTTAGGTTTGAGGCTAGGTTTTTAACCCAGAAATGGACACACTAAAGGCTGAGCACCCAATTTCACACCCATCTCACAACTCCTGTGGAGAATAAGGCTGTGTCTGTCACTCAGCCATGAAGAGCTGGGTCTTCCTTCCATGAAGACACTCCAGGCTCAGGTGACACTGTGCTTTAGTCTCTGCACACACCTTGATACAAGCTTCCCACGTGTTGTATGCCTCAGACGAAGCCCCGAAGCCCACACTCTCCTGTCTTGCCCACACCATCAGAGCGGTGGTCTGCCTACCCCAGGCACCTCTCACTATGCCCTGCCTCAAAACCAAATCTCTAGAATTTTCACAAGTTCCTCTTCCTCTCTGAAGCCTTCTTAAAGAAATCTAGTGACTGTCCCCTTCTGTAATCTTAGGACACTTATCCATTCCACTCCATTTCAGAAGTCCTCAGTGTCCACCAGTGTGACCCCCTTCCTCATCTGCACTCAGTTTTTTGAGCAGTTAGGGGCTCTCTTCCCAGCTGCTTACACCCCATCTATGTGATAAGCAGTGATGGACACAAGAGACAGAGGCACAGACATCCACTAGCGAATAAGCACGTATCAGACTCACCACTTGATCCACCTTCTGATTATCGGATGGGGAGAGCAGCCATTCAATATCCAGTGGTCCCTGGTCTTCTGGACTAAGGGTAAATTTGCATGGCAAATATGCAGTTTCCCCTTTGGCTTTTTCAATCGTCTGTTCAGGAGTGGTGATACTCAGACTTCTGGTGAAATCTGTATAAAGAAACACACACAGAACTGAGCATCTGTGATGATTCTGACATATGGCCTTGCAGCCACTGAAGGGAGCACAATGATGTGAGGGACACAGGACAGGGTTTGGGTCCAGAAGGATGGAGCTCAAATTCAGAGGTGCCATCATAAAAATGGAATGACACTATTAATATTACCTGACACCATACAATTCCTTGTAAGAGCACTGTGAACTTTGCAGCATTGTGTAAAAATTTAAAAAGTTTTTACTAACAGAGGGTCTCTACACACCAGCAGATGTTTAAAAATGTATTTGGGCAGAGTATCTGAAAGGTCAGTTATGTCATTCAGATTCAAGGCTACATTAATTCATGTTTGCCAAACTGCCGTGAAGCACTGAGAACTCATTGTTCATGAGGCACAAGCTGATAAATTTTGACACATTTTCTGCCTTCTTTAATTCTAAAATTAAACTCGATTACCCAGTTTCTATTAAATGCTTAAATATTTACAAGCAAGAAATTCCAATGAGGACAATTCAAAATGAAAGGAAACACTTGATTTATACACAGTTATGCACTGCATAACTATTTTAGTCAGGTGGGCTGCATATCTGACAGTGGAGCCATAAGATTATAAGGCAGCTGAAAAATTCCCATTACCTAAAGTATTTTTACTGTACCCTTTCTATGTCTAGCTACACAAACACCATTTTGTCATAATTACCTACAGTATTCAGCACAGCACCATGCTATACAGGTTTATAGCCTAGGAACAGTGGGTACAACATATAGCATGGGTCTACAGTGGACTGTACCTTTCAGATTTATGTAAATGCACTCTTCATACAATGACAAAATCAACTAAGAATGCATTCTCTCATAACATACCTCCATCATTAAATGACCCATCACTAAATTTTTTTAATTTGCCAAATAATTAACTTCAATATTATCTTTAAGACATTTTGTACTGTTCACCCCTTACTATTTCCTTCTAGAAAAGCTACAAATCATATTTAAAAAGACATCTTTAAATCCCATAACATATTCTGAAATTTGTATGCTACAGAAATTCCATTTACATCCTAATTAAGAGAAAAATCAATGCTAGATGGCAACATTTGAAAAATATGTAAAATAAGATATCCTAAGCTACAAAAAAAATGACCATAAACGTTTTTCCAGTTAGGTTCATTAAAGAGGTCTTAACCTGCAATTAGGCAAGATCTCACAGTGTCCTCCTTGCTAATATTTATATTATATATATATATATATATATATATATATACACACACACACACACACACACACTATATGATAGTTTGTTACATGTGTACTATATTATTATATATAACTATTATATGTAATAGTTTATTATAATACTGGTATATCTTAGATGCATAAAGTGTAGAAATAAACTATAAACAAAATTATTCTAGTTTTTCATCTATAAGAGAAAAATAGCTCAATAAATTCAGTTCTGTTTTACAAAAGAAAAGTAATTCAATTCACATCAATTTGCACTTAAAAATAGGTGTGCTCAATACCTATCTTCAAACAAGATCAAACATTTGAGCAAGCGATATTTGATTTGAAATACAAATTTAGTCTATCCATGAAATCATATAAAACATGTATTTTTTACTCTTTACAATATGAAAGTATGCACAGCACGAACTGTCACATCTGTGGTTCCTTGTTGATAACCTAACATCTTCTTAAGTATAAAATCAAGCACCTAATGTGTACAGAACCCAAAGTTCCACCATTGTCTGTTATTAAGCAGCACTACCACTTGGACCACCTTGTTGTCTGACACCCACATTCATGGCTGGATGATGAGCTGGGAGCGGCCCTAAGGGATAAGCTGATGGTATGTATGGCTCCCTGCCTCTCTTTCCTTCCTGTCTCCCTGCTTCCACCCATAAAAATAAACACATCTGCTGGGCACGGAGGTGCACTCCTATAATCCCAGTGACTTGGGAGGCTAAGGCAGAGGCATTGCTAGTTCGAGGTCAGTGTGGGCAACTTAGTGAAGTCCTAAATAACTTACTGAGACCCTGTCTCAAAATAAAAAGTAAAAAGTGCTGGGGATATAGCGCAGTGTAAAGTGCCTCTGGGCTCAATTTCCAATACCAAAATAAAATAAAATAAAAAGAGTCTGACCTTGCTTTAATCAATAAACATATTGTGGTCAGAGTGCTGTGTGAACTGAGACTTCAGTTCTCAAGAGCACTTTCTGTGCTCAACCTTCCCTCCTCTGACCCCAGCCACTACGTATCAAACCACCTGGGAAGGAACTGCAGTCTGACCAACAGCTTCCCCCACCCAAATGTAGCCACCCTAGAACACACAGCCCCAGTTCAGTTCACTATCTGCAGGTCCCACGCATGAGCCCAGTACTTCCAATTCCAGCCTAATCTAGCCGAGCATTGTGCAAGATCACGAATACATGACTTTCATGTAAAGCCTCTTAAGATGGGGTTGGCTTGTTATACAGCAAAGATTGATGATACACCATCCAAACCCACTGGTTCAGACCAAATCACTACCAAAAGTCCAAATTACTCCATCTCCTCTTCATACCCACATATCTTATTTAAAATTATGTTACTTTATATTTATGTGTGCAATTGCGAATGTTTCTGAACCAATATTTAAACCTCTGAATTAATCCTTTTTATCACTTCTAATAAACTTAGCTCCATTCCTACCATATTCTCTAGGCATTCATCACTCTCCACCTGACAATGATTTTCTGTCCTTTCTTCTACGAATGCTCACAGTACTTTAAAACATCCGGGTCACCTATTTGGCACTTAGCATATGGTTACTTGGATTCTTCTCCCCTCTCCCACATTTATCAATTTTATGGTGAAGTTGACTTTGATTGCATCCAGGGTTTTGTCACATCTCCTAGATGTTGATGAGCTTATCTTCTTCCCATTATCTTCCTACCTTGTCTTCTTAGGAATTGGTTTGCCATTGAATCATTAGCTCCATTAAGGCTGGGAGAAATCATGGATACATCTACCTATTAACGTGGTTCCCTGCATTCAGTGGAAAATAACTGGTAACTAGATTATATAAGTTTGATAAATTTTAAAAATGTTTTCTAAAAGCATTAATATACCATAAGAAATTCCCGCTACTTCAAGTCCTTTTAATAGCTACTAGAATTTACTGTCTGCATTTGTCTAGTATTAATATGTACCAAGTAAGATAAGAATACCATAAGTACACTCCAGAATAAAAATTCCCTTTCAAAATGAATCAAGACATAGTCCAAAAATATGAAGGTAAAAAACCACATAAGTGAGAATGCCAAATTACTATAAATAACAATTAAAACTTCATGGTCACAATATGTTTTTGGAGTTTTCATTTTATAGAAATAAAATAAAAAATTTAAATGACATCGATTACACATCTAAATGTATAACCATTCAAAGTCTAATTCATGCTCTCAGTATTTAACACTATACAAAGTCATCAGAATAAAATGCAACCTAGTTTGACATTATCTTTCATTCTTTCTTGTTTAACGTAGAGAAAATACTTTTATTTTGTACAACCACCTTAAAAAAATATTATATGTGTGTGTGTGAATTTCCCATTGCCGTAATAAAATGCCTGAGATAAACACTTACAAGGAGGAAAGATTTATTCTTATGGTTTTCCATGGTTGCTTTGGGCCTGTGGTGTGGCAAATCATCATGGTGAGAAACACATGGTAGAGCAAAGTTGCTGACTTCATGGTGGCCAAAAAGAGAGGATGGAGCTAAGGTCACAACATGCCCTTCAAGGGCACGCCCCCAGTGACATAACTTCCTTCCACTAGGCTCTGCCTCCTAATGTTTCTACCACTTCCAAACAGCAACAGAGTCTAGCCAAAAAGCTTTCAATTTGTGAAATTATGGGGAACACTCCAGATCCAAACTATAACAGTATCTGGATACAAATCTGTAAAAATATAGGCTGAATTGATTACAGCAATTAGTTTTGAGAGCTGAGATTTTGAGAAAGGGAAATGTCCATTTCTACTTTTTTGTGAAATTTTATTTATATACAGATGACCCTCCACCTGTGGGTTTTGCATCTACAGATTCAAATATTCTTGGACTGAAAATATATATATTTTAAAATTACATTTGTACTGAATATGTGCAGACTTTTTTCTTATCCTTATCACTGAAACAGTTTAAAAACTATTTACATAGTATTTGCAGTGTATTAGTTATTATAAGTATTCCAGAGATGATTAGAGTCTACCAGAGGACATGCTTCAGTTACATGCAAATACTATGCCATTTATATAAGAAATATGAGCATGTGTGGGTTTGAAAATCTGTGAGGGGTCCATTGGACCAAACCCCCACAGATATCGAGAGATAACTATACTGCTTAAGAAATTGTAAACAGATTTTTAGATGATTTTCAGGGTTTCTTTTTCAATGTTTAAAACATTCTACTGCTCTTGTGTTGAACTAAAAATGAATTGAAATCAATCTCAAGATCATGCAAAACAGTTGGGTTTCCTAGCAACAATGAAAGGTCTCTTCTCACAGACACATAGTTTTTTTTTTCAACAGTCACTAGTTGTATGAGACAAAGGGCAGACACTTGGTCTCATGTAGTGTCCTGAGGCTTCTTTCCAAATACTGCCCAATTTTATTTGTGCAGCAAATTCAGTGATAATTTAATTTGCAAACCACTTGCAGGTTCAAACATGACTTGAAAACTAAATCAATCATCAAATCTTATATTATTATTCAACCTCACATTCAGAATGTGATGAAATATGTAGCACATACATAAGCTATGTGTATTTTAGAGTCCAGTTAATAAGTGGTTCATATTGGAGTATATAAACAAAGTGAACCACATCCCACATTGGCAGTGGTTAAAATAACATCTACTGGTTTTCTACTTGCTTTTTAAAAATCTCAAAATACCAAATCAGTTGGCTCTCTAGAACTACTCTGCTATCTAGTCTGACTTCTATCTGCGCATCAAAGT